CAGTGTCTCCTCAGTTCACAAACTCTTACAGAGTGTTGTTAAAAGAAGCCGTGATGAAACACAGTGGTAAACAAACCCCGTCCCAACTTTTTTTGGAACGTTGTTGGCATCAAATTCAAAATGGGTATATATTTTTCAGAAACCATAAACACTTAGCAGGGTTTGTCTTAAAAAATATGGTTTATGATATGATATATATATCATTGCATTCTATTTTTATTTACATTCTGCACAACGTCTCAACTTTCCTGGAAATGCGGTTGTATATTCTCATTATATCGAGCTGAACCTCCTCCCGCACCCACTGCTGTTGCTTTGGGGCATGTCGATAAACCCATGCAGGTTGAGGTGCAAAGGGGAAAGTCTGCGCAGAGCTGCAGGCAATTTCTGAGCCCCAAAGCAGCCTAATATTGTTTTTAAATGTAAATAAATAAAATTGTAATGATGTCCCGCGCGCCCGCTGTGTGTCCGAACGTGTGCCTATAGACATGACACAACCAGTTACAGTGCCTCATTTCAACAGTCTGATCTGACAACACTTAACTCATTAGCATAAAAATTTCAAGACAGAGCAGAGAAGGGGTTTAACATGTCAGCTGTATGTGTATGTTACCATCACCCGCCACGTTATGTATACGTAGTTCATGAAACACAAACCCCCAAATTAAAACACCTTCTCGCCTCCATGGTCACAGACTCAGTTTTATAACGCGGTGCTTTGTTACTAAACGCTTAAGTTGATGGATAGAAAACATCATGCTGTGATAAACTGGTATTTTACACACCTGTAACACACTGACTGTATTTATCATCTGTATATTTTCGGAATTCCCGATCGTACGTGGCAGAGAACAGCGTTCATCCTCCCCTGATCAGCTGTGACCGTTCGCCCTGCTGTGCTAAAATCCCTCTCATTACTGCTGATACCTGCAAAAATGCTTAACAAATGCATGACAGGCGCATTTAACAAGCAAGGGGAAAGATCCGCTGTGACCTTTTCACCAAACTAACACATTCCTCTCATTATCCATGATGTGACTGCAACTGAACGTCACCTGGTTTGTTCAGGGGCATGTTGACTCACTGCTCATTGTGTGAAGCAATGCACAACACAACAACAGGCACAATATTTCTCGTTCGAAACCATTACAAAACAAACCCGAGTCTAATGCTGCAGCCCTAAACCCAATATTTATAGGATCCTATCAAGCTTGTGTTGGGTAGCAGACCTATAAGGCCACACACTCTCAGAAATAAAGGTACAGTCACTGGGGCAGTACCCCTCACCACCTATTGTTACACTCACTTAAAAAGACGGTTCTTCAAAGGTTCTTTAGTAAAAAAAAATGGTTCTATATAGAACTATGAACACTTACAGAACCCTTTGAATGATTAAAAGGTTCTTTGCATCATGAAAGTGTTCTTCAGATTGATGGAGAATGTGCTATAGAAAAGGGTTCTATGTAGCACGAAAAAGGGATCCACTATTGTAATAAACCTGACATCGTAACAAGAGAAGAATCATTTTTGGTGCTATATAGAACAATTTATAGCACATTTTCCATCAATCTAAAGAACAATTTCATGATGCAAAGAAGCCTGTAATCATGCAGAGCGTTTTTTGAGTGTTCGTGGTTCTATTTAGAACTGTTTTCCTTACTAAAGAACCATCTTTTTAGAGTGAATTGGTTTCTAATAAAGTGGACAGAGAGTGCTGCAAGAATGTTGGCACAAATTTATGCTTAGTCATACGCACAAATTTGAGCACCCCTGGTCAAATGATGTTTTGGTGATTTTCTAAGTGAGAGGTGAAGTGAACACCTCCACGTCCTCTACAGAGAAAAAAAAATAAATATGGCATTTTTATGACAATTTAACAGTTTCACATATTGGAAAAAAATAAAACAACATACTGACGTGGCTGTTTTGTGTTTAAACTCAACAAATAAACAGTTACTGTGCTCTAACATGTCCTGAAGTTTGTTCTCTGTAGAGGACTTGCAATTTATCCAGTGGTGCTTAATCTTTTGCGCATGTCTGCATGTATAGAGCTGGATCATTACCAGAACCAAGCAGCCAGAAACTGCTTTCCCTGCACCAAACAGGCCTCATTCATTTGAAGAGTGTGCAACCACGCAATGCTACAGCTCTCTGGAGTTCGCCACACTAATTCAGGACTTATCAGAAGCACATTTTTCCATCTGCTTCATGGACGTTTTGTGAGAAATGCAATTAAAATACATAATAAAAAGTTACAGAGAAAAAAAAGCTGACTTATCATGATAAAAAGCTCATTTGCATCAAACTTAGAGCAATTAAGCCTGTCACAATCGCCTAATCGCAATTACTTAAGCTGGCTGTAATCATTTTCCACAGTCACTAAATGCAACAGTTATATTACAGTGCAACACAGAATGTGAATGGAGTGTGCTGAGTTGGAGGCAAATGCATGTAAATGTAGGAAGCAGTAAATGTATTCCTTGAAAAACTGTGGCGCTTATGAAAACAAAAAAAGTTCTAACTTCTAACTTCTGTTCTCACATGTTTAGAGAGCAGCGCTGAGTAAAGTCTTTTATGTGTTAGTTATGTAGCTGATTCTAACGTGTTTAGCTCTCACTCTTGTCAAGAACAAGCTTTGATTGACTCTACACAGTTCTGTGTAACCAGAGACGTTTGAGTGTGTGAACTACTGATTCGACACTGCAAACGGTTTTAGCTTCTAAATAAACACAGATACTAAGTAAGGTGGACATTTAGCTAATGTAGCCACTTTTACTGCAATAGTTGCAATAAACAAGAAAATACAATTAAGTCATTAATCGCAATTATTTATCTGCCAAACAATAATTAGCTAAATTTTCATGATCGTGACAACTCTAATAGCGATGACTTTACACTAGTGTTCAAAATCAATGTTTCTAAATCAATGTGTAATAGTGAATCAATGGTTTTCAATAATCTGAATCCAATATGGTGGCAGAGAAATGTACAAAATAATTGTTATATACTAATCTGTCTGTAGATTTACAAAAGAGTAACACGAAGGCGTAAAGTAAGGAAGGAAGGCATGAAAAGAAGGAAGGCAGACGTAAAGGCGTAAACAAAGAAAGGAAAGCATAAAGTATGAAAAGAAGGAGTTAAGAAAGGAAGAAAGGAATGAAAAGAAGGAAAGAAGGCGTGAAGGAAGGAAGGAAGGAAGGCAGACGTAAAGGAAGGAAGGAAGGAAGGAAGGAAGGCAGACGTAAAGGAAGGAAGGAAGGAAGGAAGGCAGACGTAAAGGAAGGAAGGCAGGCATAAAGGAAGGAAGGCAGGCGTAAAGGAAGGAAGGCAGGCATAAAGGAAGGAAGGAAGGAAGGAAGGAAGGCAGGCAGGCATAAAGGAAGGAAGGCAGGTGTAAAGGAAGGAAGGAAGGAAGGAAGGCAGACGTAAAGGAAAGAAGAAAGGAAGGAAGGAAGGCAGACGTAAAGGAAGGAAGGCAGGCATAAAGGAAGGAAGGAAGGAAGGAAGGAAGGAAGGCAGATGTAAAGGAAGGCAGACGTAAAGGAAGGAAGGCAGACATAAAGGAAGGAAGGCAGACATAAAGGAAGAAAGGCGGGCGTAAAGGAAGGAAGGAAGGTGTAAAGAAAGAAAGGAAGGAAGTCAGGCATAATGGAAGGAAGGCATAAGGAAGGCAGGAAGGAAGATAGGAAGAAAGAAAGGAAGGAAGGCATAAAGGAAGGAAGGCAGGTGTAAAGAGGCAGTGTAGAGTCTGCCTCTTACGCTTCGGTAAGAATTTATTTTTTTGTTTAGTCCAAACAGATACTGCAGGCGGCTACAGGCCACCACACACTGGAGGAAAAGCTCTGCACTGCACTCAGAAAAATATGAAAATGTGAACTGAATTCAGCTACGCTTCACATTTCCATTCAGTCAAATCAGAGATATAAGAGACATACATGAGGGAAAATACGACTTTAGGTTATCCACATTGGCTGATGTGTAATCAGACGATTAGTATTTGTCTGTTTATTATAAAGGCTGGTGTAAATTTCAAGTCACATCATTTATTATGGACGTGGTCTGGGTTTAATATAGTAGAGTAACAAAGAGATGGTAGGTTTTTTTGTCCACCTGAGCCTGTAGCCTCAGGACTCCTGTACTGTTTTGTTTTTAGACTATTTCTGATATAATGTCTGATACATTCGAATATCAAATCTAACTAAAATGCCCATCCATAGTACAAGGCAGAGATGTTTCTTGTTATAGGTACAATAATACAATTCATTAATATATAAAGTGACTCCAAACCTTTGAACTAGTGCTGGGCAAAGCGACAATGTATATCATTATTGTGATAAACTGCCACAATGTAATAAAATATGCTTTTGTGAAATATGTACATCGTCAGTACTTGCAGAGCGCTCATCAACGGGATGTTTCAAAATCTTTTCCCATTTAACTGGATTTTGTGCCAAATATTGCAATTTGTGTTATTTAACTTCAAAGCCTCGAGCCAGAAAAAAGTATACACTGGTCTTCTTAGCCTGAAAAAGCCAAAACCTCAATGCATAGAATACAATCACAATTGAAATCAGAATCGCAATATCAGTCAGAAAAAATCGCAATTAGATATTCTTCCAAAATCGTTTAGTACTGAAACGTTTAGTTGAATAACTAACTTGCTTGGCAGAAGAAGTGCTTTTAATTAAGTCTAGAGCTCTGCACACATGTTCTGATGCTCGTTTAGACCTTGACCAGCTGAATCTTTGACTAGGCTGTGAGGTTTAAGGAATATAATCAGCTGTCCAATGGCTTGTACGTTAAGAGTGTTTTAAATTAATGGGTTTTCTTTCTTAAGTGCAGGAAAATGAGAAATTATCGTCAGTGATAAATGACCATGTGCTACAGATACAGCAGATAAAGACCAACAGGTATTTTTAATGAAGGTCATACAGGTGGTGCATATCTACACTCTGCAGCTGTGCTGTCTGTAGCCTGTGTGAGAAGATAAAGATCATTACTCTGTTCTTTTCTGCAGCCCAAAGCATCAGCTCCACTGGATTGTCTTTCAGTCTGAGCTCCTGCTGCTCGTACCACTCCTCGCTGTGGTTGCATTCGTCGTCATCGTCCTCGACTTCTTCCTCCTCCCATGCGCTCTCTGTCCCCACAGGAATCATGTGACCGTGCGACTGAAGGAGGTCCAGCTGGTTAAAACCTTCTGGAAACTCCATCTCCAACCATGCACTTAAGAGCCTTGATTTAACAGGAAAAAAAACACAAAATTGATAGTTCTGCTGAGCCAAATACACTGAATATATAAATGTATGATCCTACATGAACTGAATTCTGTACTGATGCACCAAGTTATTAAAAATCAAAGTGCTGGTCATGAAACAATCTTTTACCAAATAGTTTACTGAGTGATTCATCAAAAATCTAATTGACACACCTTTCTTTTACCCCAAATGTACTCGGACAGCCAAGATATCTTTTGCCATCTGAAATTATGTATATATAAATAATACTGAAAGTGTTTTGAATGACAGATTTTGAGTGATACAGATTTTTTTAGTTACATTAACCTCATTACACCAGTAAAAAACTGAAGAAGCCATTTACTGAACATTCGCCACGGTTACATGCAGCCTAATAACCCATTCATAATCCGACTAATATCCGACTAATCCGACAACTCAATCTGAATAGAATACGTCCATGTATACACCTCAATGGGAATAGACTAGTCTGATTGAGGCCATTCTGAAGACAATTTCTATCCAATTGATCGAGGTGGGTAATCCTGCAAATAATCTATTAAATAGAAGAATAATAGCCTGTATCTGATTACATTCCCTATCGGAAAGTTTAAGTCCGTTCTGATCATGTTCGTCGCGTCATAGTGAAAGTTTATACCGTTGAACATGGCGGAGCAGAAACTGGTCTGCAGAGCAGACGAAGTTTATACTCTGGTCTTTAAAAGACGGCGGTGGGACGGACGTCCAGCTTATGTGTCTCAGAACACGACGTCTTCCTCTCGGCCTTCTTTAATAAGGACATGTGAAGGACGTTTTCCTGAGTCTGACATCATTTTAAACTGATTAAAAACACAAGCGCGGCTCACTGCTGCTCGTCTTACTCTGACGGGACTGGACGTGATGCTTGTTGTCATGGTAACGTCTATACCAAGCGGTACTCTAAGCATGCGCGTTATTTTTCATTTTTCAGATTTTCATCAGATTGTTGAGCAGAGTGAGAATATAAACACCTCAGTCTATAATCGGAATGTATTCAATCAGATTGGCAAAAAGATTGGTGTATTTTATCACACTATCATATCTGCGTTGCACTGTGCCTAAGAACACCCCTTAATCCTGACAAAACCACATGACACACAGCTCTCTCTAGAAAGATTCTGTTTCAATTCACAAAGCAAAATGTATTTAACAAAAATATTTAAAGTTAGGGTTTCAGTTTAAATATTTATGTAAGAATTAACAGTAAAATTGCTGCATACAAAAGTTTAAAATATATACTAAGTTTATTGTCTGAGGAAAATTCTCAGCTTTTCCCATACAGCTTACGTTTTTTTGATGGCTCAGATGAGTCCTAACATTATGGATATATAATACTCCATGGTTTCTGCAGTCAGCTTTAGTTGAATTCCACAGAAACTCTGGTATGATGATGAAAAACAGCTTTAAGGGACCAGTAAAAATATTTTAACTTTAACTTACAATAATGCAGTAATTTTTGCTTTCTATTGTTTCACCTGTCAAGAAAGTTCACACAACAAATGTAAAGAGGCAAATCTGGTGTTTTGATATATAAACATGACAAAGAAGCTGCTGGTGTTCTCAGAACAATGGACTGACCACCCCAGAGCAATGGACTGACCACCCCAGAGCCCAGACCTAATCGAATGTGGACCATGTGGATCGTGAGAAGCAGAAAATAAAGCCAACTTCTAAGACTGAACTTTGGAGGTGTGGAAAAACATCCCTGCAGATTTTTATTGAAAAAACTGAAAGCAAGTCTCTCTAAAAGAACCAAAGACAAAGAACAGACAAACTAAATACTGAAACAATTATATGTAGTAGTTGAGGCCTTTGAATAACATTGAACAACCTACTGAATGGTCGTTTTGACTGGAAATGAATCAGCTGTACAGTACTGTTTGAACATTTTGAAGTGTGGAAAGGCTACAAATCTTCTGTCCAACTATCACTTGCTGCAGAACCACAAGTCCAAAGGGGTGGAGCCGGACCTGATCCAACTCCGCCCACGTCTTCTTTTCATCGATCTAAAATCATCGCATTTCTATTGGTCTTTAAACTAGTATTACTTACGACTTATTTCATTGATCTTACCTCTTGAGTTTTTATCTGTGGGAAACCCGCAGGTGATGCTGGTGTCTGTGTTTTTCTCGATGTTGCTCCGTCCTGAACGCCACAACACAGCCTTTATAATCGCGATGATTATAATCGATTCACGACGTTCACACTCATTTGTCACAACTCAAAACGCTTTTTTCACATTCTGGTACAAAGTCCGTTCTGTAGGCCTGCATCTCAAGAGTACTTACGGGTTCTAGATGAAAACGCTGAACGTTTTTAAACACTAGAATGCACTTATGACCGCTCAAAATAACCCACATAACTGTGTTTTATCAACTAAATCCTGGAATTTCATAATAAAAATCTTTATAATTACTTTTTTTAACATTTAAAAGGATTTGGTATCGCTGCCACACATTTCCATAAGTCTAATAAAAATGACTCAATATGCCTAAAAATCATATTAAATGTTGTATACCCTGATAGGCCACTTTATTACCTCATTCTACCTTGTTTCTACACTCACTGTCCATTTTATCAGCTCCCCTCTAGTTCAGACCAATTAAAACACAACGTGGGAGGAGTTGGATCAGATCCAGCCGAATCCCCTGGACTTTTGGTTCCGCAGCGAGGACCATCTCGCTTCTGTTTATCGTCTCGTGGTTGCTGTGGATCACTGCGCATAAAGCACTCGCACAAATAAAGGCCATTAATGAGAAAGAGAGGTACGGAGCCCCGCTGGTGACATCCTGTATAAATGAAAATAATGTGTGGCCACGACTTAGTAAGGCGTGGGAATGAGATGATTAAGTCGTGGCCATGACTTAGTAAAGCGTGGGAACAAGATCCTAATGCGTGGCCATGACTTAGTAAGCCATGATCTCGTTCCCACGCTTTGCTAAGTCGTGGCCACGACTTAATCATCTCATTCCCACGCCTTACTAAGTCGTGGCCACGCATTAGGATCTCGTTCCCACGCGTTAATAAGGCGTGGCCACGCATTATTTTTATTTATACAGGATGTCACCAGCGGGGCTCCGTAAGAGAGAGACAGAAACCAAGAAAACAAGCTCATCCAGCAGCTAACAACATAGACCGGTCACCGAAACAAGCCTGTGCAGTACAGAACACGCATTAACTCTCCAAACGCAGCCGGCAGACATGCTTAGGACACGATATTCACACAGACTTCTCGTCCAAGTACAGATAAACACTTACCCTCCTCACCGCAGTGCACAAAAGCTCCTACAGCCTTTTTTAACCAGCATTAAAGCGAAAGCTTCCTCTGTACCTTTTTCGTGCTGGGAAATGTAGTTTCTTATCAGCGTCTCTTCAGCGACTCAGTTCGCAGCAAAAACTACACGTCCCGTGACGCACCGCGTGTCGACGAATTCCGGGGGTGGGAAATTTCACATGTGTGCGTTTTCACTGGTGACTGAGGTAAATGGACTTTTGGAAACGAGCTTTTTGTAAAGTTATAACATGAACTAGCAGACCTTTACTAGTAAATATAACATGGCGCTGCATCATTGGACAGAGTGCTTTTGTCTTAAGTAATATTGTCGTAGTTAAAGTGCGTCACTGACGCAAACCCAAGCTAGCACGCAGAGCAGTAAACATTATATTTCATTACGAATTATAGGCGATAAACTACGGTTTTGAGTCGATGTTTCAAATGCTGTTATGATGCGGTTCATTTAAGTAATATACGGTCCACAGGGTTCATATATAAGTTACTGTAAACTTTGTCTTGGTTCATCATTTAACCAAAACAAACTGCTTCTGAGACTGAGTTGAACCTTGCGACCTCAGTGATTATTATCATGTGTCAACTTCCACAACAAAACAGTGAAAAAGAGGGAATATAAACTACATTTTCTTTGCTAAGTGCTCTTAAACATCAAAAAAGTTGCTTGGCTTGAGGTAATATGTGTATGTTGGATTGATAGACATGTAGGTTACAAAGGGTAGGTTATGGTTCTTAAGGGTTGCTTTAGTAAATATTATATTTAGAACGATAAGGTCAATATAAACCATTCCAAACTTAAATAGTTCTTTGGATTAATAGAGAATGTGTTATATGTGGTTCTATACGGAATTCTGTTGAAAATTCAATATAGCACCAAAAAGGGTTCTTCTATCATTACAAGTTTGACACCGTAACAGTAGCAGAACCCTTTTTGGTGCTGTATAGAACCATTTTCGAAAAACATTTGTGTGGAATCATCTACAGCATGTTCTCCATTAATCTAAGGAACCATTTCTCCAGGCAGAGAACCATTTAAGTATGAAATGGTTCTATATGGAACTCATGGTTCTAAATAGAACCATTGTCTTCACTAAAGAACACTTGTAAAATCTTCTTTTTTTTAAGTGTGTTGGGTATAGAACGGGGTTTGCCACACTTTTTTTGGCCAAAAACACAAAACAGTACACAAAGAAGGAAGGGAAGTAGATTTCAAATCAAGGTTTAAAATACTTAAAAAATATTTAATTTAAAATAAGTAAAAAACTTGTTTGCCAGCTTTGCCTTGCACGCCACACATTGGGCAGCCCTGTTGTAGAATCAGTGCAGTGTTTACATCTCTGTTAGGCACTGTCCCAGATGGCAGGCTAAGCCCAGAGTTCCTCCACCAAGTCCACATTTTGGTGACATCAAAAAATATCAAGGGATTTTGGGTAATAGTGCTTGTGAGTGCAGATTTTGCCATAAGGCAACACTAGCCTTAGTAACCTCAGTGATTATTAGTAAGATCCCAGCGCATCCCAGTCCAGGTGTATCGATGATAAAGAAAAAGCCGCTTAACAGTTCGAAATTGTGTTGAAAAAGATGTTAATTGGTGGTGGTACTGTTGATGTTAGTTAACATGTTCTTCAAATTTCTCTCCTCAGGTTTTCTCTCCTCTTTTACAGCCGATTAACTGACGACCTCATTGCCAGCCTCACAATATGACCTCATCTGGAAATACAATGTAGGTGCAGAAACTTTGATTGTGAATTCTAGCTGTGACATCAATTCAGGGTGTTTTTACACTTTCTGGGCCCGTTTGGGGTGAGGGGCTCATTATCGCTGGTTTTCCACCCGAACTGTGCATTAATTAAGCAGCTCCATAGGTCATTTTTCAGGTTTGCAAAATGGTCAGCACTAGCTTCATCCGTTTGCTACTTTTTATGATTTTCCTTGAGTACAGAAGCTCAAGCAGTGAAGAACAGCACTTTTTTTTCTCACTGTTGCCACAAAACTTGGAAAGGGAAGTGATGCAGTGGGTCGAGGCAAGAAAAGTCAGGTTCCAAAGTCAACCAATCATGCAGACCCTCACGCGGTGCTGGGAGTGGATAGTTTTACACTCGCGCAGAGGACAGTGCCAGAGTTTGCTGGAAGGGAACCCCAACCACCACCTTTAGGAGGACCAGAGATCGGTACTCTGGACTGCTCTCGGGCTCAAAAACTCTTTTGCTGCCCTGTTGTGGCTCCACAGCAGAATCAGCTGAATTACATTTGTAGGTAAAAATAAAATAATCCTCCTTTACAGTAAAATAAAGCTCTGCTGATCGTTCAACACAGTTTAACAATAAATGGTCTTAAACTCTGGAGTTAATGTAGAACTGCTAATTCACCCTTTAACCCTGAAGATCAGCGCAGACTGCTGGTCACCATAGACAACAATCTTGCCTAGCTAGTAGTTAATGAAAAGGCAAAGAGAAAGATTTAAGATGAACTTTGGTCATTTGGAGACGAATGGACTTATTTGTGTTTATTATTATTATTATTATATTATTATTATTATTATTATACACTCCAGCTGGTTTCCTAAAACGTTTAATCTGCAACTAGAAACTGTCAAACTCTTAGAAGTTGCGAAGCTCCTGTTCCACCTTAAATGGTGCAGCAGTTACATTCATCATTTAAGGTGGAACAGGAAAATCGAACAAGAAGCTGGCAAATGAGAAACGATTTTAGCCTCATAAAAAGTGAAACGTTGAGAGACATTGTGGAAAAATTTCCTGCTGAAGATGCGAGAAAAGAGGCTATAGCTGAGCCAAAGCTTAAAACAGAGCAAAGTTAGTCTGTTATATTATATTTTTAGCCTATATTAGTACATCAGCACATACTGAGACATATTTACAGCCAAGATGGTAAAATGGGCATTAAATGTTGTGGCTCCAAAAGTGGTTTGATTTTTGTTAAAAGGACTTCTTAACATTTGGGTTGTGACCCCTGGTATATAGGAGCATTGTGGAAATGTTCTGTCCATTGGTACATACCATCATTTTGACCATAGTCTTAAGTATATGTGGGGTGACTAGGGTTGTATTAAGAAATGGACAGCAGCAACACCAAATATAGAAATTATGTAGATTTGTCATTGGTCAGACTCTCACTGTCCAGACACAACTGCTGTAAACTTGTATGTCTGGTGGTCAAGACTTCAGCACAGGCCGACCTTTTCACTGCAGGGGCATTAAAAATGTAGAGGTGAAGACTTCAGTGCTGCCTAACCTTTTCACAGTAGGAGCTTAATGGACCATTTCATTGATAGCTTTGTAACCTTAATCCAGGAAACTGACTGTGTGTTTGGCCCACACTTTCATTCCTCAGGGTCTGAACTACAGAGCTTACACATTAATTCCACAGCATTTACTGAACAATATGGCTTATATTAATAAATAATAAAGGTAGGTGGGGTTGCTCCAAAAAATGAACCACTATTTTTAAAATAAATTTTATGTTTTTTGTTTTTTTTTGTAAAACAGCTGTGGACCGTGTGGACCGTGTGGACCACATTCTTGTTTCAAACATTGAAGTAACGGCTACACAATATGAGTAGCTTTTCTGCAAAATAAATGTAGTTCATATTTGAGTTTTAAATACATGTATTATGATAAATATATAGATTTTTGATACATTGGCCTATTTTATCACTTCATTATAATAATCAGAACATTAATTTTTCACGAGAATTTCCAAAATTCACAAAAAGTAACCCTATTGGACTAAAAACAAAAAAAAGTACAATAAGAAGCAGACTCTTATACAAAAGCTGCAAAGAGAAGGAATAAAAAATGGTGTCACCTGATTTAGAACACATCAGAGACAATTTCCAAAATTCTGAATCTTAATATTATTAAAAATATCAAACATAAGGGTTATTAAAATGTTCAAATATGAGTTGGATGTATGACCTAGTTTTAATACAAAACTTATTATTCATTTGCTGAATTTAACATTCATCATTAAAAACAATAAATTGTTTGCAAACAACTGTGTAGTTTTGGGTCCTGTCTAGAGCTGGACGATATGGCAAAAATGTAATATCACAATGAGTGACTCACAACCTGCATTCTGTTCTGTCTCTGACTTTGCTGCAGGGATGACGAGGACACGTTTAAAATTCTCGTTGCCACTGACATCCACCTGGGTTATCTGGAGAAAGATGCTGTTAGAGGCAATGACACATTCGTGACATTTGATGAGATAATGAAACATGCAAAGGAAAATGAGGTGAGAAATGCAGCAAACACACTTCATCAGCTTCTGAATATTTTATGTTCACTCAGGACGAGTACGAGGAATTTCCCTTGGTGCAGTTGGTGCAGTTATTTTCATAAAAATATAGAAAAATGCATAGAATATAGAATAATATGCAGTTAGATTTTTATTCATGGCTTCTTTAGGGCTTATTTCCTGAATATGGCTAAACTAATTTTAATTTCTAGTCTCCCTGCAAAGCACAAACCACCAACAACACATTTACACAGTTATATAATCTGAACAGTAAACAGTAGTAAAGAAGATGATGACTTTTTAAATGTATTTAAATTGTATTTTATATATTTAAATATGTGTTTTGTGTTATAAAGAAGTAAAGTGGATTGACTAAAATATCTGTTAATTATTAGATGCTGTTTACAGTGAGGGGAAAGTGTTCAGGCGCTTTTGTTTTCTGTTTGCGTTATATATTTTTACATTGACACCAGGCGCAATGTATTTTATTGTAACGTTTTTTTATTCCAAGCAACTGGAATAGAATTGGAATTGGAGCATTTCTGTTAGTTTGATCATTGTGAAATTTTCAGACAATGTCAAAGGGCAACTGCTGAGCTCAAATTATGCACTTAACTAAAAATTGCCAAAAAAAATGAATTATTTTTATTTATTTTTTTTTTGGACAGTGACATTATAGAACTTGGTTTATTTTTATGTTGCCTTTACATGCATAAAGGTACTTTATTTGGAACACCGGTGCACATACTTATTCATACAATTATCTAATCAGCCAATCATGTGGCAGCAGTGCAGTGCAAAAAATCATGCAGATATGGACCAGCGGCTTCAGGTGACGACCATCAAAATTAAGAAAAAAATGTGATCTCAGGGAGTTTTGACCATACTGTTGGTGCCAGACAGGCTGTTTTGTATGTTTCTGTAACTGCTTGCTGGAATTTACACACCCAACAGTCTCTAGAGTTACTCAGACTGAAACAATGAAAGAAAAATCAGTGAGCCGCAGTTCTGCAGATGGAAACACCTTGTTGATGAGAGAGGTCAGTGGAGAATGGCCAGACTGGTTCGAGCTGACAAGAAGGCTACGCTAGCTCAGATAACCACTCCAACCTTGAGACAGATGGGCTACAACAGCAGAACGTTCCACTTCTGTTGGCCAAGAACAGTAAGCTGAGGCTGCAGGCTCATCAAAACTGGACAGTTGTTAGCCTGATCTGATTAACCTCGATTTCTCAGATGGTGGGGTCAGAATTTTGATCCAGCAGCATGAATCCATGGACCCGATCTGCCTTGTGTCAGTCCATGCTGGTGGAGATGGTGTAATGGGGTGGGGAATGTTTTCTTGGCATACTTTGGACCCATTAATACTGATCAATCATCACTTGAGTGCCACAGTCTGTTTGAGTGTTGTTGCTGACCATGTGGATCCCTTCATGACCACAATGTACCATCTTTTAATGGCTACTTCCAGCATGATGATGCACCATGCCGCAAAGCAAAAGTCGTCTCAAACTGGTTTCGTGAACATAGCCATGGGTGCAGTTTTCTTCAGTGGTCTTCCCAGTCACCAGATCTGAATCCAGTAGAACCTTTGGGATGTGGTAGAGGAGGAGATTCACAGCATGAAAGTGCACCTTAAAAAACTGCAGGAATTACATGATGCAATCATGTCAGCAGGGACCGGAATCTCAGAGGAATGTTCCCAACATCTTGTGGAATCCATGACAAGAAAAAATGAGGCTGTTTTAAGAGCAAAGAGAGGCCGTACCCAGTATTAGTACAGTGTTCCTAATAAAGTGCTTGAAGTGTGTGTGTGTGTGTGTGTGTGTGTGTGTGTGTGTGTGTGTGTGTGAGCGTGAAAAAACTAAAATAAACTTAAATGAGCGTTTAATTTACTGAAGATAAAGATTCATTCAAAGGCCATATCACCCATGTGAAAAAGTAACTGCCCCCCTAAAGCTGACTGTAACTGGTTGTGCCACCCTTGGCAGCAACACCTGCAGTCAAACGTTTGCGATTACTTGCAGTTAGTCTTTTATATTGCTGTGGAGGAGTTTTGTCCCATTTCTCTTTGCAGAATTGTTTTAATTCGGCTACGCTGGGTAGTTTTCGAGTATGAACTGCCTGTTTAAGGTCATGCCACAGCATCTCAATGTGATTCAAGTCAGGACTTTGACTCGGCCACTTCGAAACCTTCGTTTTGTTTCTTTTGAGCGATTGGGAGGTGGCTTACTTGTGTGCTTCAGATCACTGTCCTGCTGCATAACCCAACTGTGCTTGAGCTTTAGGTTATGAGTGATGGGCAGATATTCTCCTTCAGGATTTTTTGATAGAGAGCAGAATTCATGGTTCCATCAACTATGACAAGTCATCCACGTCCTGCAGAAGCACAGCAGCCCCAGACCATCACATCACCACCACCATTGACTGTTGGTTTGATGTTCTTATGGTGGAATGTGGTGTTAGCTTTATGCCGGGTGTAACGGGACCCATGTCTTCCAAAAAGTTCCACATTTTACTCATCAGTTCACAGAATATCATCCCAAAAGCTTTGGGGGTAATCTCGATGTTTTTTGGCGAATGTGAGACGAGCCTTTGTGCTCTTCATGGTCAGCTATGGTTTATGCCTTGCAGCTCTCCCATGGATACCATTGTGGAATCGTTTACATTGACTTTAACTGAGGCAAGTGAGGCCTGCAGTTCTCTAGATGTTCGTCTGGGTTCTTTTGTGAACTCCTGGATGAGTGATGGATGCACTCTTTGTGGAATTTCGGTAGGCCAGGAAGGTTCACCACTGTTCCAAGTTTTCTCCATTTGTGGACAGTGGCTGTCACTGTGGTTCGCTGGAGTCCCAGAGCCTTAGCAATGGCTTTGTAACCCTTTCCAAACAGGTAGAGTTCGATGACTTAGTTTCGCATCTGTATTTGAATCTCTTTAGAACATGGCGTTATGCGCTGCTTTTTCAGACCTGCTAGCCTGCTTGATATTGCCTGACAGGTCTTATTTAAGTGATGTTTAGATTCTGCAGGTCTGGCAGTAAACATGTCTGGGTGTGGATAGTGAAATTGAACCCAGTAGTAAGTGATTGATTTAGTAGCTAAGGGGGCAGTTACTTTTCACATAGGGCCAGGTAGGGCTGAACAGCATTTTTCCTTCAATAAATTAAATCATCATTTAAAAACAGTATTTTGTGTTTACTTGGATTAACTTTGTCTAATATTAAAGTAGTTTGATGGTCTGAAACATTCGAGTGTGACACATATGCAAAAAAATAGAAGATATTTTTTATAGCACTGTATCTGTTGGTAAAAATCATGGCAAAAGCATAGCTTACGTGTAATGAAGTGTTTACAGGTGTTTATTCTCTGATAAAGGTGGTGTATACAGCACTGATATTTCCTGAAGGTGTAAAGCCAACATCCAACAATGTACATCATGAAAACAATAAAAATTCTTGAACGCTGCCTGTAATGCATTTAGCAACAAAATCGTTCTTATTTTTTAGACCAATCAGACCAATGATGTACACGCCCTCTTCTCCCTCACACATACGTTTTCTCCTCTCTGAAGGTGGATTTTGTATTGCTGGGTGGGGATCTTTTCCATGACAACAAGCCGTCTCGGAAAGCCATGCACAGCTGTCTTGAGATCATGAGGAAATACTGCATGGGCGACAACCCCATCCTGTTTGACATCCTTAGTGACCAGGCAGTCAACTTTGGCAACAGCAAGTAAGTGTGCATGTCAGCATGGGATCTTTATGGTGTGTTTCTTTTGAACTCTAGTGTGATGAAGGTGAAATGAAGGAAGTCCTCAATCCTGATCCTGGAAGTAACAGTGCTATTCATACTGTAATTAGGAGTGCAACGATTATTCGACTTAGTCGACTAAAATCGATGACTAATTTAGTGTGAGATTTAGTGTAACTGTGAGAGCGCCCCCTGCTGTTGCCACTATCCATTTTTAGTTTTCATTTCTCAAAGCTTTAGCCGGCCTGCGAGCCATGCTACGAGCCACACATTCAACTCTGTCTCCTTGTTATTCACCATCATCTCTGAAGTATTTTATTTGATGAAATTTCATCAACATTAACACCCGGAGGTTATACGAGGGGCGGTGGAGATCAAGTCTGCAGTGTCTGAGATTTTCAAAATGCAGAGTTAGAAAAGAAAAACATCTCACAAGTGAAGCAGCGTTTTACGGTAGAAATAAATGGAGCTCATTATGCTGGTATTGACCTACGCTGCCTGACACAGCTGCCTAAAATAACAGAAATGGACACTTAAACAGAAGTTAAGACACCTCTGTGGTTATCTTAAAGTTAGGACAGTATTTAGCAAATTGAGTCTAGTTCGGATGCTTCTGTAATACTGTCTTCTTATCTGGAGTTAATGAATAAGATTATAAAGGTTGTTTTCTAATAGCTTCCATCCTAAATTCAGGCCTAACTGAAGTCGTCACGGTGGCTAAACAGATCAGATTTCAGTGTTAAGATGTTTCTGTAATATGGCCCCTGGCACTTGGCGAATAAAGATTCTGATGCCCATTCCAAAACCATGGGCATTAATATGGAGCCCCCCCCCCCACTTTTTCAGCTCTAACAGCTTCCACTCTTCTGTGAAGCTTTCTACAAGACTTTGGAGTGTGTCTGTGGAAATGTGTGTGTATTCAGTCAGAAGAGCATTTGTTGTGAGGCCAGACACACAAACAATCTTTTTTCTAGTTCAAAGGTGTTCGGGGGGGTTGAGGTCAGAGTTTTTCCACACCAGACTTGTCAAACCATGTCTTTATGGACTTTGCCTTTTGCACAGGGGCTCAGTCATGCTGGCACAGGAAAGGGTCTTAAAAATTTGGAAGCACATAATTGTATGAAATGTCTTCATATGCTGTAACATTAACGTTACCCTTCACTGGGGCTAAGGGCCCTTACCCTGAAAAACAGCCCCAGCCCATTGCCCCTCCTCCACCAAACTACACTGTGAAACTCCGGTAGGTAGCATTGTCCTATCATCCACCAAACTCTGATTGGTCCATCAGACTGCCAGAGAGAGAAGCATGATTCATCACTACAGGGAACACAGGGAATACTCCAGAGTCCAGTGTTTTACATCACTGCAGCCGACGCTTGGCATTGCGCATATAAACGTTAGGCTTGTGCGCAGCTGCTCAGCCATGGAAACCCATTTCATGATGCTCAGTTCTTGTGCTGATGTTGGTTTCAGAGGCAGTTTGGGACTCTGTGTTGAGTGATGCAATAGAGGAAAGATGATCTTTTTTTTATGCTACATGCTTCAGCACTCTTTGGCCCTGCTCTGTGAGTTTGCATGGTCTACTGCTTTGGGCTGGGCTGTTGTTGCTCCATTTCGCAATAATAGCACTTACAGTTGACTGGGGCAGATCTAGCAGGGCAGAAGTTTCCGAGCTGACTTGTGGCAGAGGTGACAGTGCCATGTTTAAAGTCACTGAGCTCTTCAGTATGACCCATTCTACTGCCAGTGTTTGTCTATGAAGATTGCATGGCTGTGTGCTTGATTTTGTACACCTGTTAGCAATGAACTCATTTAGGAGGGGTGTCCACATACTTTTGGCTATATAGTGTGTTAGAATCGGGGCGGCAGTCAATAATTTCTGCAGTCAACTAATCTATCCACTTTTCTTAGATTAATCAAGTGATCAAAACATTATGCCTTCTTTTATTTGCATTGTGCCTCTCAACAGTAGGAGTAATATAGATGCCCCCTATGTTTCTGTGGCATATTACAGTCTGTCAGAATGACTGTGTGAATCATATGTTCATTATAGTGCATTATAGAGCACTTTTTAAACTAAATAGACTTAGAAACATATTAAAAACATATAAAAACTCTCTACACTTCCTAGTTACTTCACTCTGTTGAATGTTGCGTTGCGTGCAGCCAACTTTAAGTCCAAATTCAAAATCAGTACATTGTGCATTTAGTGTATTTTTGAATGTAATTCTGAATCATACTGAGGAGAACTCAGTTGAATTGTGGTGAAATTTGAGATTTTGTGACGTTTAGAATTGTTTTCTGAAAAATTGCTATAAGAGTTTTTTTAAAATCGCTCTTGTCTCTGTGCCAGGTTTCCGTGGGTGAACTACCAGGACGAAAACCTGAACATTTCCATCCCTATTTTCAGCGTGCATGGAAACCATGATGATCCGACTGGGGTAAGGAGAGAATGAGAGAAACGAGAGAAAGCAGGGAGATATGTATTTATGTATGTGTGTATATATATATATATATATATATATAATAGCACCTTAGAAAATCCACATGACAGATTTACATAGTGCAACAAAGTGGAGTTCCATTAACGCAAAAGAAGGAAAAAAAAACGGATGAAAAGATCATTCTTAATGAGAACATAGGGAATAAATTGCTGCTTCGCTAAAGAGATGCTTTTTTTTTAACCTGGATTAAAAATAATAATAACTATAGAATAAATGCTAGAGTTCTTGTCTTTGGCTCCTATGCTTTTTATAAGAAAAGCATGTTTCTGTCAGGTACAATCCTAATGAAGATGTTTCTTCAAGGGTTCTTTTTTAAAAAAAAATGTTCTGTATTGAACCATAAACACTCAAGGTGCTCTTTGCATGATCATAGTGTTCTTTGTAAAATTGTATTGTAAAATGGTCCTTCAGACTGATGGAGAATGTGCTGTAGATGGTTCTGTGTAGATCTTTTTTGAAAAGGGTTTTATATAGCACTAAAAAGGGTTCTGCTATTGTTATGATGTCAAGCTTATAACAATAGAAGAACCTCTTTGAGTGCTTTATAGAACCATTTTCAAAAGGTTTCTGTGTAGAACCATCTACAGCACATTTATGCACATTTCCATCAATCTAAAAAACAATTCACAATACAAAGAACACTTTGATCATGCTAAGGGCTCCTTGAGTGTTCATGGTTCTATATAGAACAATTTTCTTTACTAAAAAACTCTTGAAGAACTATCTTTTTTAAGAGAGTAGAAGAAAATGAGACTTTTTGTACTTTTTGTGATTATTCCAACATATTTTACTGAAAAAATGGTCTTCTAAGACTTTATTTTGACGTAATATGCCAGTATTTGTTTTAACATTTGGCACTACTTTGTCTATTCCAATTTTTCAGATGTCACAAAAAATATTGTGACGCATTGTGAAAACTTCTTAGAATATTGTGATATAACTTTTTTTCCATATCACCCACCTCTAATTGTAACACCGTGTATCCTGAAAACTTCAAATATCATGTGATTATTTTTTCTGTATTGCCCATCTCTCTATTAAACCAAAAACAACTTTTGACTGCAGTTTTAGTTTAAGACAAGCCAAGTGAAGTTTATTTATGTAGCACCTTTCATGCACTGCTGTCACTGAAAGTGCTTTAAAATTGGAAAAAAAAATACACAGTCAGAAACTACAGAGTTGTTTTAAAAAGTAAATAAGAATAGAAATGAAAAAAATAATTAAAAGAGAAAATCATTAAAATAAAAATCAGATTAGAAATCAAATTAAGATAAAAAGAAAAAAAGTGAAGTTACTCACGTGCTGATCTTTTGCCATTTTCTGTCATGAAATTGTTTTCTCTAGTTATTCACGCATAGCAGTCACAGGTCAGCTTGGTTTTGCAGATCTCACAGGAAAACATCTTCTCTAGAACTTTGCTTTCTGAAGCACAATGTACACAGAGGGGCAGGTTGCGTTATGACAAATCCAGTCAAGCTTTGGCTTCTGTGCTTTGCTTTTATTAAAAACATTACCTCAGTAGTTCTTAATAAGAATAAAAAATGTTGTTTAATGGTTTTTGCATGACAAACATATTGTCACTGTCAGAACAAAATCTTAAATCTCCAAAAAAGTACCTAATCTGAATTTCTTAAATTTCAATGTAATTTAATGTAACATTGTCATTCTGGATTGTTTCCGATTCGTCATGAGATTTTGGTACAATGTAAAGAACAGTTGATATTGTCAAATTGCGTTAAAAAACACACACACACACAAAACACTCGACCACTGGTGAAGGGCTAGTCGTGGCTGGCTCTGTTGTGAAGTTTTTGAGGATTTAAATAGAACACCAATTACAAAAAAGTTGGTATGCTGTGTAAAATGTAAATAAATATAAATTAAAACAGAACGCAATGATTTGCAAATCTCACAGACCCATAATTTATTCACAGTAGAACATATCAGAACTGATCACACATCAGATGTTGAAAATGAGACATTTTACTATTTCATGAAAAATATTAACTAATTTAGAACTTAATGGCAGATGTTCTATTGTGAGTAAAATATGAGATTTGCAAATGATGGCATTCTGTTACATTTTACACAGAGTCCCAACTTTTTGGAATTGGGGTTGTAAGTAGAACTTACTTAGGATGTGGTGTTCTGATATCCTGCGATACAGAGATTTGCTGTGGAAACCTGCACTGACTGTTTGGAGCTTGATATTTTAGCACTGCTTGTGATCTTTTAAGGGGAGGTTTGCTTCTGGCTTTGCTTGTGATCTTGTGATAAGGGGAGGTTTTCTTCTGAGGGAATCTGATTTCATCTGGGTTTTATTAAGCCCCATGTTGTCTTCTTCATCTTTGTTTGATGATCCTCTGCAGGAGGGACATTTCGGCATATTGACAAATGGGGTAAAATCCCAGGACTTTGTGTTTTGTGAGAAGACGTTTTTTGGACGTGCCATGTGTTTGTGTTCAGGATTTAAGCCCTAAACTAACATGTCATGTTATTCTGTAGGTCAGCATTGTGTCCTTCAGCCTCATTGGTTTCACAGGATTCATGATTTTGTATCTTTTAAGCAAAGACAGTTTAACAAAAAACAACACCTTTTAATTCTACAATCCCATTTCCAAAAAAGTTGCGAAACAACAAAAACAAAATGCAATGATATGCAGATCATTTAAACCCTATATTTCATTAAAAATAGTACAAAGACAACATTTTAAATGTTGGAGCTGAGAAATTTTATTGTTTTTTTGAAAAACTATTCAAAGAAGAAACCATATATAAACAGGATCCAGAAACGCTGCCACCTTCTCTGGGCCCGAGCTGATTTAAAACGAACTGAGGGGAAGTGGAAAAGTGTTCTGTGGTCCAACAAATCAACATTTGAAATTTTTTTTGGAAATCATGGACGCTGTGTCCTCCGGGCTAAAAACCACTCAGCTTGTTATCAGTGCACAGTTCAAAAGCCAGTATTTATGATGGCATGGTGGTGCATTAGTGTGCATGTCATGGGTGATGTGCACATCTATGAAGGCACAATTAAAATATTTATATTTAATATGTTGACAGTTATTGTTGGTTTAGCTGTGTAATAATGAATATAATGAATGAATAATGAAAATAATGAATCTGCTCAAAGTGCAGAGTTTGCCCAAAACAGCAAAAAAGTAGGTTTAGTTCTGGGACAACATCATGGACATATGAGACACATTAACTTGTTTCAAGAGTAATGATAAGAGAAGGAACTGCTGACGATCCAAAGTTTACCGCCTCATCTGTCAAGCATGGTGGAGGTAGTTTTATGGTATGGGCATGTATGGTTGCCAATTAAACTGGTTCCCTTGAATTTTTAAGGCAAAAAGTAGAATGTTCTGCAATGGCCAAGTCAGTCACCTGAGCTCAATGCAGTCTAGCATTTTACTTATTGAAGGTAAAAATGAAGGTAAAACGACCCAAGAACAAGCAGGAACTGAAGACCACTGCAGTAAAGGTCTGGTAGAGAAGAAACCCAGTATCTAGTGATGTCATATGTTAACTGCAAATGATTTGCATCCAAGTATCAAAAATTTAATGTGTGATTATTTTAGTCTGACTAATTGTGTTTGGGACCCCAAAATCTGTCTCTAAATACTCTGAAATTAAAGCCTGCACTTTAAGCTCACATTCACTTTTAAACATACTGTAGTAAGCGACTTTGTAAGTGACCAGTGTTTTGTATCTGAGTCGTTGTGCTCAGTTAGAACTTGATTTTTCAGAGAAAAAATTGCAACCTTTAGTGATGTCATGGTGTCCAATATTGTGATAAAGATATTTTCCAACCCTAGACAGCAGAGAAAGGCTTACAGGTAACCACAGGTCTTGCATGTGTGGAGGGATTTGAAATATGAATTTTGAATAATAGCTGAAGTAGATGGCAGCCATCTGAAGCAGAATGACATTTCTCAGCTGGTCGTGTTCAGCCATGTCAGTACGCACTCACGAAGCGTCCTTTTGTGACATATCGAGAGCATGATGTGAGCCGCGATAACAAAACAAATTATTACACCCTCAATATTCTCATGTGGTGTAGATGATTCTCATGTGGTAAGATGATCAGAGTGTCCATTTGCTTGTATGAGAAAAATCTGTTTTTTCTGTTTTTAACATTCAGCATCTGCACTGAAAAAAGTGATGCACTCTCTTCATTTCCATATAAACAAAATATATCACATTAACAAGGTTTTATCTTTCAGTTTTGTGTTTTTTGGCATAATATATGTGATATATTTTATTCATGTGCAAACAAATGCACGCATTTCAATCATGCAAACGCACTGCATCACTTTTTTCAGTGTTTTCCAGCCACTACTTTTATGCAAATTTTGAAGATGTACATTAAAAAAAGTCAGAAATTTGAAAAAAGATGCCAAAAACAAGTTTTTATGGAAAGTTGGTTTATTGATAAAGGAGAAATGTGAAAAACAGCTTGCAGGGTCCACCGGCTGGTCTGTCGAGTAGGGTATCGCTGCAGCTTAGGAGACGCCGAGCTCTCTCAGGCTGTGTGCACTTAGCGCTAGCGTATGCTGTCTCGATTGCCTTTTCACCTGGAAAAAGGTATTAAATTTACATTTTTCACATTTGAAAATAAAAAAGCCTACCAGCAATAAGAGTTTGGTCTAGCAAGAGACTTTATCCCAGTTTATCATTATCAGTTTTTTTACTAACGTTAATAGCATCCCATTAGCTACTTAGCTAACCAATTGCATTTGTTCCTGATTTAACTTACATACGTTGATGTTAATGTTTGCCACTACCTAAAGTACCAACAAAATAATATAACATGCTATATTTAGCACAATAACACAATAGAACACATTGTATCTTACAAGTATTGCATACATAAAAGTAACCTGGCCTGCTAACAGGCTATAGCTAACAGGCTCACTAGGCCCTTTCAGAAATAA